GCATGGGTATTTGGTAGTAGTCGAAGTATGCGTCCATAAAGCTCAACAACTCGTGCCCAGCCGTGGAGTCTACTAGTTGATCAATCCCTGGGAGAGGAAAGCTGTCTTTCGGGCAAGCTCTGTTGAGGTTGGTGAAGTTGATACACACCCTCCACTTGCCGTTGTGTTTCTTCACTAATACCGGGTTGGAGACCCACCTCAGACAGGTAGCGTCCCTAATGAAGCCATTTTGGATGAGCTTCTGAACCTCTTCCTTCAGATCCTCATACCTTTCAGGATTGAGGGCTCTCCTTTTTTATCTGTATGGGGCAACCTTAGGATTGACCTTCAGGTAGTGGCAACTGACCTTGGGGTCTATGTCTACCATGTCCTCATGCTTCCAAGCAAAGACATCAAGGTTCTTACTTAGGAAATCTTTAATCTTTTCCTTTAAAATGTTGGATAAGCCCTTGCCTACTTTCAGCATCTTGGATGGATCTCGGGGGTCTACCGAGAAGCTCTCAAGTTCCTCAACTGGGGATGTTTGAGGTTCGTGTTCAATTATACGGGGATCAATCTCATCAATAACCAATACCTCCGGATTGGGTGGTGCATCAATCATATCGATATCTTCTGGTTCAGTGGGAGCATCACCTGGGACGTCAGCCATGATTATATCGGCTATGATTACATGGACGTTCCAGGGCTCTACCTTTTTTATGGAGCTTAGATAACACTCTCTCGATCCTCTTTGGTCACCTCTCACCGTTGCCACCCCATTTTTCGTCGGGAATTTCATGCATAGGTGGTGGATGGAGGTGACTGCTCCCAATTCTTTTAGGGCTAGCCTACCTAATACTCCGTGGCAGGCCGATCGACTGTCGACAATGAGAAACTCTATGAAGTTCATCGTAGTTTAGGGAGACTCTCCCATCTCCACTGCAAATGTTATCTTTTCCCTTGGAGTAATGCTATCTTCGGTGAATCCGTACAGAAGAGTTGTGGTGGGTGTCAACTGATGATCCAATATTATCTTGTCAAAGCGGATCCGAATAGAATGTTAACAGAGCTACCATTGTCAACTAAGATTCGCTTGAGTCCATTTCGGGCTATGACGGCTCTCACAACAAGTGCATCACAGTGGCGGTAGTGAACTCCTTTGGCATCCTCTTGGGTAAAGACAATGGGTAGAACTTGGTTCCTTCGGAGCTGCTGTCCACAATGTAGCTTGCCAAAGGGGGGTGTTTAGCCTCCCGGGCGTAATTTCTTTTGGCGTTTCGTATCTCACCGTCGACATATGGGCCTCCAAATATGGTATCTATCTCGTGGATAGGGGCCTCATCCTGGGCTTGTCGATTTCTTTGGTGCCTGCGTCCTTCCCTAGGCCTCTCCGTATCACGCTCCCTTCGTCGTGGGGAAACAACCCTTTGACGGGAAGCAGTTTCCTCACGCCCACGTCGATTGTCGTGCCTGGGCGGGGGCCTATTCGTCTGGGGCGATTCATTTCTGTCCCTAAGAGGTTCCAGCCGGGAGTGGTGCGCATAGTCTCGACAATCCGTTGTGTCGTGCCCATAGGACCGGTGGTGTACACAGTATCCCGGTGGGTTCTGATTTGACCTATTTCTAGGTCCCGAACCCAGGCCTCGACCTCTCTCCCTACGGGATCCTTGTGGGGTTTCAGTCTGCTGGGTGTCAGTAATTGGGTTGATATCCTCATATACCAAGGTAGGAACCGCGTTCAAAGTGGTGGTGGCAAGTGCTTGGCCAGAACTCTCATTTCCAGCCTGGTTCATTTGGTAGTCCATCAGGTGGGAGGTCGGCCCTCTAGCATGCTGTCTTTGAGGAGGTGGGAGGCATCTACTTGCCTTATTCCTATGCTCAATCAATTCTTCATTGATGATTTCCCACCTCATCATCTCAAGTAGGGCATCATAGGTGGTGGGATCTTGATTTTGCACGTCCTTCTAGAATAGGGTATTCATGTTCAAACCTCCCCTTAATGCGGATAGTGCCTCACGGTCGGTAACTTGCACACAATACGTCATCTCATCGGTGAAGCGTGATAGGAAGCTCTTTAGGGACTCCCCATGTGCTTGTCTCATGTCTTGGAGACGTTGGATGGGGACCTCTCCCTCTTGGCTTACCGCGAACCTCTTCAAGAATGTTGTCTTGAACTCGGGCTAGCTTCTTATGCTCCCAGGTGGTAACCCGCTATACTAAATTTCAGCCGCGCCACTAAGTATCAAATGGAAAGCTCTGCACTTCGTAGTTGGGGTGGCACCTCTTAGGCCTACGTGAGTTTTATAAGCATTCGGGTGCTTCTCTGGGTCACCTCTTCCGTCATACTTTGGTATCTTTGGCATTACATAGTGGTTTGGAACCTGGGCACTCCTTAGTTCCCTCGAGAATGGCAAATTCTCATCTTCGTCGTCCAAGTCACAGGATCTCTGTTGTTCATTTGAATCATATTCCTCGGCCTCTTGCCATGTTTGTTGGTGAGAGGTTCCGAGATGGTTCCTAGCCTCGTCCTCCCTCCTCTGGGGCCTATTTCTAGGCGGAGCAACACGGGGGACATTTTCATGCCTTTCCTCCGGCTGCTGGGGCATCGAAGGTAGAGGCGGTGGCATTGTCCAAGGCTGGTGTGTCTGTTGTTGCCTAAACCTCGGTTCAGCGGGGCTAATTCTATCAAATACACTGCCTGCCCTTCTATGTCTTGACTCTTGCTCATACGGAGGTCAGAAGTTATCATGGTTCAATGGGACCTCGATGGGTCGGCTAGAAGCGTAGTTGGAGGAAACATCAACTTCCACTTCCCTTTCAAATGGGCTTCTACTTCGGCTATAGTCCGGCGAGGCAGTTCTATGACTTTCAATTTCATCTTCTTGCTGGTAGTGCCCTTGAGGGGCGTATGGAGGAATGGGAAAGCTTCCCTGGCGTAGCATTTGGGCCATGAGCTCTCTCATAACCAAGTTTTGGCTAGCAATATCTCTCATGTTGGCCGTCATGGCAGCCATTTCTCTTGACAGTCGTGCCGTCGCCCGCAATCCACCTCTTCTTTGGTGGTGGTGGAGTCTTTGTCGAGCTGCTGGGGCAGCATGTGGAGGAGGTATATTTGCATTTTCTCTTACCCTCCTGGGGGGTATGTCTTCATTTGAACTCATTTTCTTTTCGTCTAACTCTTCAGATTTTGCTAAGTTGTAGGGCTTCCTCTTGTTCTTTTTCAAGAACAAATCATTTTTCAAGGGGGATGCCCAAGTGCTCTTCAATAAGCTTTCACCACAAGGTTATTCATGGTTATAGTATGATTTCCCACAGACGGCACCAATCTGTTGACCTCAAAAAGTGTTGCCAACAGATGTCGAACCTACTCGCGCACAAGTGAGCGAATGTCCTACACGCTAAGACACGTGGATGGTCCAGAACGAAAGAATCAGAGGCGTGGGAGTAGCTCAACGACGTAGGATGAGAACGTTCGGAATCTGGCGGGATGTTTTTAATCCGATTGTACAATAATTACCAATTGGCGCTCATGGATGTGTATGTAAATGTGTATGAACTCGTATAATGTTGTAAGATAATATGAAAGAGAGATAGTAAAGTGTGGTTTCTTGTATTGATTCTTGCATTAGTCCTTCAATGTTACACAAGGGAAGTATTTATAGTGGTACATGTGAAATGACAGCCATTGGATGAGGTGACACGTGGCCTCATCTCTTTAATTCAAACATCCAATCCTAGGCATTGTACAATAATTACCAATCGATGCTCATGGATGTGCATGTAAATGTGTATGAATTCGTATAGTGTTGTAAGATAATATGAAAGAGAGATAGTAAAGTGTAGTTTCTTGTATTGATTCTTGCATTAGTCCTTCAATGTTACACAAGGGAAGTATTTATAGTGGTACATGTGAAATGATAGTCATTGGATGAGGTGGCACGTGGCCTCATCTCTTTAATTAAAATATCTAATCCTAGGCATCATCTTTGACTTGCTAGCTTACTGCGTATTTATTGCTTATGTGGAACCCCCATGCTAATGACAAGACTTGACATGTACACTTATGACAAACATTCCATCAATCATTCTAACAAGATCTTTACGTAGAAGATCTCTTGAGAGAAGTGATCACGGAAGATGTTCCTTCATGGTTCGGAGGCTTCTGCTTTGGCTTCGGATTCGGGGCTTCTGTCACTCACGTAGTATTTCCACTTTAGGGCGTCGGCTATCTTCACAAGCCTCGACATTGGGCCTCAGCCATAAAAACCACCTCGGCTAGAGTGCCAATTGTTTGGATTGAGTGGGCCATAGGCCCAAGTAGATTGGCCAAGTATGACAACACGTAACAGATGCACACCAGTGGCATAAAAAAAAAAAAAAAAAAAGACAAAAGAAAGAGAGAGAGAGAGAGAGCAAAAAAAAAAGAAATGGCTCACAGTCCACATATCACCGAAGAAGGGCTGGGGCCTGTTGGCAATTGATTTGTCATTTGGGCCTATGATTTTAAAACAAAAGAGGCCCAATCAGTAGAAAATCAGCCCAATAATAAAATAAAAAAGGGTCAGGTCTAGTTTTGCCACTTCTTCCATCTCCATCCCAGCTGTCTGTAAGGCTTCAACTCTGCAACTCCAACAGCGCTTTGAACTGATTAAAAATTTTCGACGGATCACCCTAGCTTGCCACTACTTGGATCCGCCACTACGTGAAGGCACCATTGTGGATCATTCACACAGACTAACTGAAAACATGTGCCATAGCTCAATCCATTGTTGAAAAGGGCTGTACTCAATGCTACTGTGTTAGTTCCATAGCCCTGACTATACAAGTTCCCATACCCACATGCCCCAACTAAAAGAATTAAGAATTATCATCTTAGAAGGAAGCCCATGTCATCGATCCCATCAACTTTCGTCAAAATCTACTAAAAATCTGATTTTTATCTAAATTATACCGAAGCTAAATGTAAAATATGATTAAGCATACACGTGCAATGTGTTATGACAAACGCGCGTGTTACATACCCATTGTTCCCGAAGCATAGCCTCCTCCATAGAATGTGGCATGAGCATTAGTCCAACCACCATAGTAGCCATATGCAAATGAGATCATTGAAAGAAACCCCACTAAGAAAACTCCAAGATTAGCCATTTTTCTCCCTGCAAGAACTCAGCATTAATGGTTAAAGAACTCGAACACCGATAGATAAAATCAAGAAACTAGAAAGAGAGAAGAAAATTTTACGAAATTTTTTTTATCTTCGACAGAGGAGTTGTGAGGAAGTGAAAGAAATGTTTGCTGGGAATAAATAGAGGCTTAAAGTTCCTGGGGAAATTTAATATGTAGGGCAAACACTGAATATGACATCTGACGAGTTTCCTTTGTTGATTTGGACCATAAAAATGAAAAGCATTTTTTGGTCTGTTGAGTGGAAACAATGCACGATCTAAGGATATGAATCTTATCAAAGTAGAGATTTGAGAGTTGTTTCAGTCAAATTTCTGCATGAACTGAGGCAGCAACTACGGTAAAACGTCTCTTTCCCCTCTAAATGTACAAATTTTGGATCATGTTTGGCGAAAGCTTAATTTAAGTTCGTCAAACATAAGTTTAAGACAATTCAAAAGTTCAATTAAGGAGTTGTCAAAAATAATAATAATAATAATAAAAATAAAAAAATCTGTCACAATTTAGGGTAAATTTCGTAAATGTGACTTAATTAGGTTTATAAAATTTAAGAGACACTTCATGATTTTAGAAAATTATAGAAATCTCTCGCGTGGTAAAAATTTTCCATTTTACCATTTTCTCTTATGTTAAATATAAAACTTTATTTTCTTATTTATCTTTTTCACAAAGTTATTACATTTAATCCATGTTTGACAATAATTAAAATAAATAATTTTTTTCTCAAATTTATTTTCAACAACAAATTCTTACAATAAAATATTCTACACGTAAATAAATTTTTTTCCTACTTCTTAACTATATATTCTTCAAAAAATAACTGTTTTAGAACTCATT